CTAGGCAAAATAGGTAAAAATTAACAAATAGGCAAAATCGATAAATTATTGAATTGGATAAAAACAAATTGAAAACAGAATTCCGATCGACATAAGCTCGAATATCATGATTTTTAGACGAAATCAACACATTAACAAATTAATTCTCACAATGTGCGGCACAACTCAAAACAAGGCTTGGATCCACGTCGCTCAAAAATCATATTTTTTCTTAAGACAAATTAGCACAATATTAATTAACCAATGTTACGATTGAAAACTATCCTAAAACGAGATTTGAACCAAATTAACTCAAGATTTACTTTTTTGCTCAAACTAGCAACAGTTTCAAAATAAATCTTTATTTGACACTAAAAAGGCCCAAACAATGAGTTTTAAACCAACGTGCTTCGAAATTATTAAAACGTAAGCGATTTAACGTTAATATCATAAAAACGATATGAAAACATGGTTTAAATCAACGCGAAGCACTAATCAAATATTTTTAAAATCAATTAGCACAACTTAATTAACAATCGCAATCGACCAAAAATAGTTCAAAAAAGAAATTCAATCCAACAAGTCTTAAAAGTCGTACAAGCCACAACAAACAATTCCCATAGTAACAATCAAGAATATTAATCATGTCGATATCAACACAACCATAGTTCAATTAAACCATGTGCATAGCAACAATTTAATCAAATCATACATCATCAATTTAATTAATTTACACACACAACGATAATTTAATCAATTTACAAACACATCAAAATGAATTAATTAATTCACGAGCACAACATCACAAATTAAAGTTAATACATATAAAAATAAAATAAAATAAAATGAAAGATGAAAATGAATTACCGTAAAAATACGTAACGAAGTTGACTATTGAATTGGGCTCGGCTCCAACCTTTTCATCCCCGATTGAGATTGATACTCGATCAATCGAGAATGAGAGGTGGTTGCTCGTTGTCGATCTAGATCGGGTGGCTATCGAAGGGGCTAGATCGGCTAGAGGTCACCACCGATTGATTTTGGAGCCGGATCGATCCGACTAAAGTTTTGGTTGCTGCCGTATCCGTTGGATCGGATTGGGCCGGGTTGTGCCGCCTGGATCGAACCGGGCCGTTGTAGATCGCTGACGAACATCTTCCGCATTAGTTGGATCAATGGCCGGCTTTAGGTGGAAGAGATCGAGCAACAACTAGGGTAGTTGGACGTAAAGGTTCAATGGGAGGAGCCGGATTGGATAGCAGACTTTAGGTGGACGAAATCCGATCTCGGGCAATTAGGTTTGGGTGGAGAGAAGTGCCGATGATTGAAACACTAGACGATGCCGCTTCGGGTGACTAAAACCGTGATGGGAGAAGCTGGATCGGCCTTTGGCGGTGGTGTGATCGGTGGTGTAAAGAGTGGAGGAGAGCTAAACCGATTGGAAGTGTGTCGGTTCGGCTTGGAGGGTTGATCGAAATTTTTGGATGAGGAAGGAGCTGGTTAGAATCCGATTTTTAAGAGAGAAAGCCAGCTCGTCAATTTTTTTAGAGAGAGAGAGTGATGCCTTTTTTTTTTTTTTTTTGGAGAAACGTGGGTTTTTATGCTAGGTTTTTAGGGTTTTTTGGGCTAAGTTTGGTTTGGTCTTTCATTTTACAAACCCACTTTATTTTGATCATTTTCTCCCTTTCTTTTTAATTGCATCCCACCAATTATATTTTTTAGTCTCTTTTCCCTTATATATATATATATATATATATATATATATATATATATATATATATATATATATATATATATATATATCATTATTATTTATTTGAGAAAAATTAGGTGCTAACAGAGAGTACAAGGACTAATTAATTAGTTTGGTTAAATTATAGTGATCGAGTTATATTACAAAAAATAAAATCAAACATTTGGAAGGTTTCTACATATCAACCTTGATTTTTTGTCATTTTATAGCTATTTTTTAGGTAATTATATGCGAATTTTTTATAATTTGGTCTTTGATGTTTCAAAAAAATATTTTTGATCCCTAACTTTATTTGTGATACACTTTCATCTCTTGATGCTGAAAAAAAAAAGAAATAAATGAAGAGAAAAGGAGGAGAGAAATAGAGAAAGAGAGTGTATCGACCAAGCTTATTTCGGCCATTTTGGTCAATGATATTCTATTCAATTTATTTATCTTGAAGAGTTGATTTTATTTGTTATGATTTTAAAGCATAAAATGATCGAAAGAGATAAATTGAAATTTCAAAATATTATGAATTTTTGCATTTTTTTTCTTTTTTATGTGCATTATAATCAATTTTCTCTACCTCATTTCGGTGTTTTTAAAGTCTTTTGAAGTAAAAATAATCCACGGTTGGATTTTGAAGTTGAAAACTAAAAAAATCCCTTTTTTTTCTAGAGAACTCAAGTTCTCCAAAAGTTGCAGCACACGATGCATCGTTTCCTACTCTTTTTTTTTTTTTCATTTGTATTTTTTTCAGAAATTTTTTTTATTATTGATCTTGTGCAAAATTTATGAAAAAATAATTTTGTTTTTACATGCAGCTTGCTAATTAAAAATAAATTTTTTTTGATTTTTCATTTCTTATTTCTTTCTTTCAGAATTTAAGATGATTTCTTCGATTTGTTAATTTTTTTTTTAATAAAAACAACCAATTATTTTTTTAATTTATTTTTATATAATTTTATTTGTTAAAAAATGATTTATATTTCTCTATGTATGGATTTTTGAATAAATTTTTGAATGTGTTTTTTTTTAAAAAGAAATACATTAATATAATTTATATAATAAATTCTTATGATTTTTAAATGAGAGCAATATATATATCTATTTTTTAAAGATTAGAAATGTATTTTTGATACTTTATCTTAAATTTAAAAATATATATATATTATTTTATAGTATATTTCTGAACCTAAGGAGCATGGTCGTGATGTATAAAAATAATAAAATTAGATCATAGATTTTATTAGAAATTAATTATACATCTAAACACATAAAATCAACCATTTACTATTATTTTTTTTCTTTTGGATATTTTAAATTTCCTTTCATTCAAATTAAAATTTACAATAATAGTTTACAATAACCATATAATAATTGAAGTACGGTTTTTAATATATTATTGATTATTTTGTAATTTAGTAAGACACACACAGGCAAATATTAAATTTATATACTTTAAAAAATAATCTTCTCATAAGCATTAAATAAGAATAAAATATTATATTTTTATTTGTTAATTTTTAAACAAGTTTTATATTAATTGTTGTTTTATTTTTTTTTATACAACCTTATGGAAAAGATATTAAGGTTTTTTTTTAAAAAAATGGATTCAATTTTTTAGTTAGATTATTGCAGATTCTTATTTAAGAATCAATGCATACAAAATAACAAATCATGTTTTTTTTTTTTTCAGTTGAAAATTTATGGAAAAATAATTAAATACAAGATTTTGATTAAAAAGTTTTAAATTTTTATTTTTTAAAAATTTTTTACCTTTGATTCAATATTTTTTTTAATAAATCTATAATATAATATAGAATATCAAATTGAAATGATTTAATTCTATATGTGAACAAACTAGTTAACTCTATTTTTGGACTGAATTTTAAAACTCAACGAGCCCTCTAGTTGGATTAGGTCCACAAAAATGAAAGGCCCAAACAGTAGAGAAAACAACTAGCTAGCAGCTGGAATATATATATACATATAGGATGGAAAATTAACAAATTAATTAACATACTAATAATGGCCCTTCATTAATTTGTTACATGGTTTGTATAGCATAATTTTTTTCGATGATAAAATTATTTTCAAACCAACTGGAAAATGTGTTTTCACATCAACATGGTGCGTTAATAGATTTTTCTAATTTTCCTTGGATTACTTGTACAGCATAATCAACAAATTCATTAACCATTATTATGTATCGTGTGTTAAAAACGAGCATCTTAGTACACAGTTCAAGTATATTTATCAAATGAACAAAGGATGAGTGTCATAATACTGTTGATTGTGAATATATATATACTTTTTAGGGGTTGAAAAAAAACTTCAAAATACATTTCTAATTAAATGTATATATATTTAAAATAGCGGTGGCTATTTTAAAACAAGAAGGATTAACTTTTTTTTTCCCCCAAAACTAAAGAGACTAATTTATAATTTATTCAATTAAAGTTGCATCCTATTTCCTCCATCCTCCTTTCTTCCTTTTAAATTCTTCATCCTCCTTTCTATATCTGATTTTCAACCAGCCTTTCCTTTCTTCATCTCTCTCTTTCTCTTTCTTCATCTTTCTCTCTCTCATTCTTAATCAAGCTTCACTGTAAGTTCCATTTATTCTTCCTTCTTTTTTTTTCTTGTTTTATTTTCCTATTTTTTGGATTGATAATTGATTGGTGTAGAATTTTGAGTTTTTTTAAATATACAACACCATTATATATGTGAAACGGTATTTAAGTATTTATAAGGTCGAATAATGATAATAAAGCGCTCCCTTACCATTATATAACCATTTAAAACTAAGTCATTATTTAAAACTATGGCTACAGCTACTCAACCAGCACTATATATTTGATAATGAGTACATTATCAACACGGAAGTCTCCCAATTAAATGCTTAATGCGAAGGTGGCATCAATATAGAGACTCTATCCTCGTAGAAAAGATCAGTTATGCAACCAAATGCAAATAACTTGTCTATCACTGTCATGTCAGCCAATGACTTGTCACCCATGTCCTCTGTGAATTGCTCTGTCAGCTGTCATCTGCAACAGCTAGCACAACCCGTTTTATTATTATTAATAAATTCTCTGTTATAAATAAGCACAACCAAATTATTGCATTTGGATGGATCTTATATTGCCATAAACATCAAATAAACTGTGGATTATACTTATAAATAAATAAATAACAAAGAGAGAGAAAGAGAGAAGGTTAATCGTGTAATGATCCTGGATGGATCATATTATTATCTGAGGGCGGGTTTTGAATGGTTGGTTCAGCAGAAGAATTTGATTGGTTGGGGCTGCATGGCTAACTGAACAAGCTCAGCTTGTTCATTTTTGTGAACCTGAAGAAAGCCAGTGGCTGTTGAAGCAGATGGACCCCTGCCCGCGTATTTGATATCCTCCCAGGATCCTCTGCCCACTGCTTTCATAGCTGTGCAAAGACGGGGTGCGATGTAACTGTAAGCACCCATGTTCATCGGCTCTTCCTGGCACCAAACAATCTCAGCATCTAAAACAATCACCAAAAAACACACACACATCAGCTCCAAGATAAGAAAATATGTCAAATCTTATCTCCAAAAGCAAAAGCCTGGGATAATAATAACATCAAGTGCAGAAATGAGTCGGGTGAAATTTGACATGCTTAATAAAGTTGACTTCAGCCTTACAATTCCTACCCAAAATTATTGAGAGCATGCTGCATTCTAAATTTTCCTGGATTTACTATAGCCTGTAGCACTTGTCAATGCATAAATGGAAAAAAATCAACTTCTATTTGTTCTCCAAAGAAAATATAGCAATCCAGTTGAACCAGAGAGGATTAACAAGCCAATCATTTATTCTATGGGCAACCATTTTACTGAGATTAAGAACATACTTGGATAACGCCTCAGTTCTCGTTGGACGCGGTCATATGGGAAGGAGCAAAGTTGTTCCAACCTACAAATTGCAATGTCTTTGCCATCAACCCTTTTCCGTTCTTCATCAAGCTCGTAATAAATCTGCAACATAGTTAAATAATTTATAGAGCTTGCCATAAGCGGCTGCAATCATTGAATGAATACAAGAAAAGGGGGCAACATTTGTTCGACAAATGTTCAACCTATTTCATAGAAGTGTTCTCGTCCAGTAGACCAGCACGAACAAGAAAAGGGAAGGAAATTATTCATCAATAGAATTCAGAAGTAAAACAAGCACACCTTTCCAGAGCAAAGAACCAATCGCCTGATGCCCTCCTCTAGATCGGAGTGGTCGTTTTCGTCCTTTATAAGCTGCTTGAATTTGGTGCCCTGTTTATCAAAACCTGGGTGGCCTTCGACATCAACAAATTCAGAAAGATTTGATTTGCACTTCTTGTGGCGAAGAAGGTTTTTTGGCGCCATGACTACCAGAGGCTTACGGAAATCTCTGTGTATCTGGGAGATGGAGACACAAATGGGAAGGAAGCCTAAAAAGTTGACATAAAAATTATTCATAAATCATAACCAGATCCTGCTCTCTCACCTGGCGTCGTAACACATGGAAGTAGTTGGCTGGAGTGGTAACATTCACGACCTGCCAATTGCTTTCTTGTATCTGCTTTTTAAGTGTTTGTTCCATCTCAGGTAGAACATAAGGGCTGCTATCACTCATCTGCCATAAGATTTGAAACCATTAGTAGTTCTATAGTTGCAAAAATCAAATGCCATCCTGAAGGAATGCAGATTAAGGATCTAAGTGAAAACATAAAAAAGTACGTAATTTTTTGAAAGGTGGAACCGCTTGGGGAAAGAGCAGAAGGTTTCCCTTGGCAAAGGTAAAAAATCACAGAAAGATCGCGTTATATCGAAGAAAAAATCTGCATGCTTACGCAGAATAAAGTGTTATCCAGCAAGCTCCTTTGGTTGATTAATTTTTGCGAAAACTAAGGCTAACTTGATTTTACTGTGGAGTTATTTCAACATTTCCCTAAACTGGATTTAAGAGAATCCAAACAGACTAAGCCATGAATGATTATTGATAAGGCATATGCAAGGTAAACATACAGGATTTTAAAGAAGACATTAGAATGTTCAGAACAGATTCTAGAAGCAATATCCGAAACATATCCTATGCTGAGTTAGTACTTAGTACCTCAAGGAAACGCTCCAATCGAGCACTTGAATGTTCAGGACCCTGGCCATCATAACCATGAGGAAGTAGCACAACAAGCCCATTTTGACGCAGCCACTTTGCCTCACCAGCGCTCAAGAACTGATCAAATATCACTTGAGCCCCATTAGAAAAGTCGCCGAATTGAGCTTCCCACATAACCAAAGCATTTGGATTTTCCATCGAGTAGCCCAATTCAAATCCAAGAACACCAAACTCTGAAAGAGAGCTGCACACGGGAACACATTACTCATGTTTGAAGTTCGCTTATAGCAACTATTTACAATTAGATGAGAGACATCAAGAACTGCAGTCTACAATAAGGGAGAGATGGAGTTGCTGCAACAACATGCTTTTACAGAATAAAGAAAGGCCACTGCTATAAGCGGGATTTAGTCATCTGAAAATAAACAACCTGATCCATTAGATTGAGTTTCGAAATAAAAATTTAGGAGCAGTTAGGAAAAGATCTTAACAATCCAGGATTCGTCAAAACAAAAAACCTAAACTTCATTTGGAATTGTAGTAATGAACACGACAAGCTCGAATTTGAAGATTCACCAAAGATGAGTACTTAGAACAGATACAAGTGCTTGCAGGAAACTAAACGCACAGAAGTATCAAATATTACCTGTTGCTCACAGTAAACATTTCCTCATTTTGTCCGTGCATAATATGGTCCAGAGGGCAATACTTCATCCCCGTCTCCTGATCGTGAACCATAGCATGCCGATGACTAAATGTACCTCTTTCAACATCCTGACCACTGAGTCTAACATGGTTACCTTCTACTAGCAATGTTGCAAAAGCAAGTGCTTCTGCAAGTGCCCAATCAATGCCTTCCCCTGTCTCAATCATCCGTGCACGATCATCATAAACCTTTTTTACTTGTTTGTGAGGCTGGAAATCATCTGGGAAGACTGTGATTGCTTTACCAACTTCCTTCAACAACTCTGGTTTGACCCTGTAACAGCAAGAAGTTTCATAAAGAGCAAGAAGACACGAGAGCTAGTGAAAACTGGCAAATAAAAAAACATACCCTGTGTTCTGGATACGTGAAAGCTGTTCAGGAGACTTGAAACCAGACCAACGAGATGATAGCCAGTCTCTTCGGTTAGGAACACAATCTTTGCTGTTCAAGAATTCTTGGTTGAGTATTGAATTCACCTTTTTGTGTATGTTATCGATATCTTCTTGAGTGACCTCTCCAGATTCTAAAAGTTTCTTTTGGTAGATATCAAGAGAGGAGGGATGCTTCTGAATGACCTGTTACCACAAACTCCAAGTCAGTAACATAGGCCTGAAATATCCAGCAATGAGAATAAATGGGAGAAAAGCTGTGACAGAGAAATATAAGAGCCAGAGTAAATATTGTTAGAGACAGTGCCTCCAATCAACCAAAATAATTTGTTCCAGGCAACAGGAAAATAAAAATGCTACCTTGTACATTTTAGGCTGTGTGAAAAGTGGCTCATCAATCTCATTGTGCCCAAATCGACGATAGCATACTATATCAACCACGACATCTGAATGGAATGTCTGACGCCACTCTGCTGCAAGCTCGCAGACAATAGCAACCGCCTCCATGTCATCTCCATTTACGTGAAAAATGGGGGCATCGAAGGCCTTGGCAGCATCAGTGCAATACTGTGAAGATCTACCAGACCTCGGATCCGTAGTGAAAGCTACTTGATTATTCACTACTATGTGTATAGTCCCCCCGGTAGTGTAGTTAGGAAGTGCACTCAGATGTAGGGTTTCATATACGACACCTTGCCCAGCAAAGCTGCCATCCCCGTGGATCACGACAGCCATATTCTTTGTCCTGTCAACATCATTAGTGTAATACTGCTTTGCTCTGGTTTTTCCGAGAACAACAGGGTCAACAGCTTCCAAGTGGCTTGGATTTGCGAGCAAAGATAAATGAATTCTCCTTCCTCCTCTAGTTGGTCTATCATAAGAAGTTCCCAAATGATATTTAACGTCACCAGTACCTGTGTAAAGCCCAACCTCGTCGACAGGCTTTGCATTCTTGTCAAACTCACTAAATATCTGGGCAAGTGGTTTCCTGAAAACATTGCCCAAGACATTCAGCCTTCCTCTATGAGGCATTCCAACAACTATATTCTCAACTCCGAGATCTGAGGCCCTGTCGAACATCTCTTTCATTCCGGGGATTAGAGTCTCCCCACCTTCGAGCCCAAATCTTTTTGCTGCTTTCATTTTAGTGGCTAAGAAATTCTCAAATTGTGTACTCCATGTCAGCCTATCAAGGAAAACCTCACGCCGCTCCCTATTGTATGCCACTGGTGTTGATGTCTCAATCTTTTCTCTTAACCAGTTGCACTTATCGTTATCACTGATGTGCATGTACTCGTAACCGATGCTCCCACAGTACGCCTGCTCAAGTCTAGTTAATATGGACCGCAGGGTCATTACTGGACGATTGTCAGCTAAAAAACCAGGCATGTTCCACGCTCCTAAAAAGAACTCCCTATCAAGATCAGTTTCTGTGAAACCATGAAAAGCAGGGTCCAAATTATCAGGGATTTCCCTTTCTTCCAAAGCTAATGGATCTAAGTTGGCTTTCATGTGGCCATTAACCTGGTAAGCTTGAACCAGCAACAGCAAACGCATACTCTCTTGTATTGTTTGGCCTGAAACTCCAGCTGACGTTCCTGTCTGTCCTACAAAATTCCTGAAGTAATTGTCCCATGACTCGTCCACGCTATTTGGATCAGCTTCCCAGGCCTTTTGAAGCTCTTCTATGTACACACTACTCGCGCCATCTAAAAAATTATCAGTTCGTCCGGAGAGAGGCACAGAAGGAAGGACAGATGCAGTGTGTGCCATCACTCTAAAGATTGTACTATGAGAACTCAGATTCTTTGAGGGCATGGTCTGCCTTCTTGTCAAATATGATCCACCCTGAGATAGAGATTTCCTGATGACAATCCTTGCCACACTAGAACCTGCATTAAACCACCCCATACTAATGGACTCAAAAAGTATCAGAGAGTGAACGTTCAACAAGGATTGTAAGCCCCCAAGCTCAAGCCTCAACCATTAACATCAGCATTTGTTTCTTAATAGAGTCCTGTATAAATAAATCAGGAACACCTGGACGACCAAATCTGAATCAGCGTAACTCAAAAATTCTTAAACAACACCAATTCTCTAAACCTTGATGATTTAACAGATTGAAAATGCTAGAAAAGCTAACATATTAATAATAAAGAAAAAGGTGGGAAAATAATGCACCAAAAATTTCGATGAAGTGTACAACAAACAACAGAACAAAATAGAAAATGAGATTAACAATTTACCTTGGTGAATAACTGAAGAACCCTCCATTATACCAATAAAAGCCTAATACAGCCTAAGGTTTATGTGAAACCCAAGAGCAATTTTTCCCAAGATACAAACAGATTTTATGGAAACATTCATGAGAAAGCAGGCAGCCCATATCAATCAGTAAAGAATTCTTGTTCTATATTCAAACACGTACATAACATAAAATGATACAGATATGTAGTAAAGATTCACACAAACGATTTCATATCATATATGTTTGATCCAAATCACGTGGGTCTAGCTCAAAGAGAAAAGAACCATTGCCATTTTGTATAACAAGAGACGTACCAAATTGATTACTGATTGAAGAGAGGCAAACGAGGATTCTTTTTTCTTTTTTTTTTTTAGCAGACTGGAAAACTAAAATTCACGGAATTATAGCACGCTGGAGAGGAGAGATCAGTAATAAGAAATAAGCGATCGCTTGGTGCCATGTGTCACCGTAGATCGCGCCTCCCACACCTGACACGTGGAACTTGAAAATACAAACAAGTCTGATCAATCGATTTTCCTCAAGTTCTTGCCAAGAACTCAAATCCTAGGCCAATTCAGTTACAATAGGGGAGCCTGCCCTCCCATCCCTGTCTAATCCTTTCTCTGTCCAGTAACTCTTGAACTTGAAATTGAACTCCAATTTCAAATTCAAAAACTTCAACTTGGAAACTCTTGTAATGTACGAGTCATGACTTACCAGGAACTTATTGATTAAAAAAAAAGGTTCATGGGTACCTTAGTCCAATTATAATAGCAACTCTTGCCCGGTAAAAAGATCATAACGATGCAAAGAGAGGTTAAAAGAAGCTCAAGCATAACTTGATTGGAACAAACACAGGAGCCGATTAAAGAATAGATAACCCCGTCTCTCAAATGCATCATATATATATATATAGTAAGGACAAGTGAAAACAATAAAAAAAAATAGCTGAAGATCACGTTCCGTAAATCGGGTGGCAATAAAGACAAATATTCCCTTCATGCAATGCATGACGGTACATGTCAAGTGCAGCTCAACTTGTACACCAAGGTTCCTTGGCTAGAAGAATTAAAGAAAAGGTCAAAAAACAGATTAACAAGCTTCATAAACAGGGCAAGATAAATGGTATCAAAACTCCACGACACAATTTTAATGTATAAAATTCTCATTATTGTTCTTTGACTTTGTATAGAAACAGTTTGCAAGCGCTTCAGTTAGGAGACTCTATTGGTTCCGGTTGCATGGCTTTTTGCAGAAGTCCAGTCTGTTCCTTCACATGCACCTGATAGAAACCAGTTGCTGTTGCAGCAGATGGCCCACGTCCGACATACTTGATGTCGTCGATAGTTCCTCTACCCAGTGCTTTCATGGCAGTGGAAAGGCGTGGTGCGATGTAACTGTACCCACCCATGTTCATTGGCTCTTCCTGGCACCAAACAATCTCTGCATCTAAAAGAAACACAAAAAATGTGTCAAAATATAGTTCCTCGTGGTGTCAACTGTCAATAGATAGGCAGCTTAGTGAAAAAGAAACAAGAAATTTAAGTTCAACCACCCCAAATATGAAATCACACCCTTCCACAAGATCGTGTTTGAATTTTACAAAAGAAACTGATAGCCTGTTTCAGTCTACGGTACAACTAAATCTCATACATTTGTGTTTCTATGAGATGCAGACAACAAAGGAAGCAAAACTTGTATCTTTTTTTGTAGACAAGGTTATTTCTGTCATTTCCAGAAAATCTTGAAATTTGTCTTAATCTAGGTTTCATTTTGTATTTCGTATTACATTAGTCCTAAAGAGTAATTAGCTTTATTAGGTTTAACCGCTCCTAGTATTTTCTTATTTAGGAATCTAAGTCCTTATTGGATTTGGACAACTAGAACTCTATAAATTCCAGCAATCTGCTTTTGATTGTGTGACTCCTAAGAACCCTAGTTGTGATGCTTAGTTTTTTTTATCCTCTAGGGATGACTCCTAGAAACCCTATTAGTGTGACTCTAATAGTTCCAAGATTCCTGGCTGAAATCTCGTTTAATACAACCCAATACAGCCCTAAACAGCCTCCAAAGTCAGATACAGAACAGCCCCCAAAGCTGTCCTGCATCACAAAGGAGGTAAAGAGACTCACTTGGATATCGCTTAAGCTCACGCTGAATGAGATCATATGGGAATGGGCATAGCTGTTCCACCCGACAAATTGCAATGTCCTTTCCCTCAACCTTTCTGCGCTCTTCATCAAGCTCATAATAAACCTGCAAGCAAGGATTTCAACTGTCATAACTAACATCCTCTAGGTCTACATAAAAAATCAAAATTCAGAACAAGCGACAACCAGAAGCAGCATGTCACACCTTTCCAGAGCAAAGAACTAGACGCCTGATACCCTCCTCAAGGTCTGAGTGGTAATTTTGATCCTTTATGAGACGTTTAAATCTGGTCCCCTGTTTGTCGAAACCAGGATGGCCTTTTACATCATCAAACTCTGAGAGATTTGATTTGCACTCCTTGTGACGAAGTAGGTTTTTGGGAGCCATAACGATGAGGGGCTTACGGAAATCTCTGTGTATCTGCAAGATGAAACAATAGCACATGAGAGATTGCAGACAGCTGTCAGTACAGTGGAAAGGGATTTATAATAGTTGCACTCACCTGACGCCGCAAAACATGGAAGTAATTAGCAGGGGTTGTAACATTTACAACCTGCCAATTGCATTCTTGGATTTGTTTACGAAGAGTTGGTTCCATTTCAGGTATAACATGAGGATTGTCATCGCTCATCTACAATAAGATTCAAAATAAGACACCTATAAGGACTATGTTCGTATGAAAAACAGGACAAATGCACATGATAGAATATAGAGAAGTTCGCTGATCAGGCAAACTTTCCTATTCCTCAAGCATCCAACAAAATCAAATTGGACAAAGAATGGATTGATGGGATATTTTGATTGGTCTGTGATTTTTAGAAGTGATAACTGTGATATATTTGATAGAATGATGTAATAAGATATCAGTTCTTCCCTTAAACAGTAATCATAATGACCATCTAGTAATCACTGTAATTTATTTGAAAGAGACACATTCGCTAGGATCTCTCATAGACAAATTTATTCAGGGACATGTCAATTTAGAGTGAAACTGTCTCAACTTCCCTGGTTGAAGCTTCAGCACACCCCAACATAGATCCTAGCATCAATGAGTAAAACATCACTTAAAAGCAGTAGACAAACAGATTAGAGATTGTATAACTAAAGAATATAATATTTAGGGGAATATATTTTGAAATATGAAATTTCCTTTGATGTTGTGAATAATCTGTAATAAACTCTAGTTATTTGTTGTGCTATTTGATATTTGAAACTTATAACTAGAGCAGGACAAAGTTGCTTCCACTTAAGATCCTGCAGTAAGGAACCATCCAGTCAACTCCAAGGGAAAGAAAAAAGCACAAAAGTCTTTGTTGGGAATACCTGAAGGAATCGTTCCAAACGTGCACTTGAATGTTCAGGGCCCTGACCATCATAGCCATGAGGAAGAAGCACAACAAGCCCAGTTTGCCGCAGCCATTTTGATTCACCGCTGCTCAGGAACTGATCGAATATTACTTGAGCGCCATTAGCAAAGTCACCAAATTGAGCTTCCCAGATTACTAACGAATTTGGACTTTCCATCGAGTAACCCAATTCAAATCCAAGAACACCGAACTCTGAAAGAGAGCTGTGCACAAGACATAACTGCAATTAGTTAAATGAAAGTCCACAATATAGCACCAACTCAACTAGCTGTGTCTCAGTAATCACATAGTGCAGACTCTTAAGTTTCCTCAAGCAAGTCTTTGGCACCAAAATATAACTATTTAAGGGATTCATGAAGCATGTTCTCCCCAGTAAAAGTTCAGCATGAGAAAAGAAGAAAAGACTTCGTATATTACCTGTTGCTGACAGTAAACATCTCTTCATTTTGGTTCATGATAACATTATCCAGGGGGCAATACTTCTCCCCAGTTTCCTGATCATGAACCACTGAATGACGGTGACTGAATGTACCTCTTTCAACATCCTGACCACTCAATCGAACATGGTTGCCTTCTACTAGCAGTGTGGCAAAAGCGAGAGCCTCTCCAACAGCCCAATCAATTCCCTCCCCTGTTTCAATCATTTGCAAACGTTGCTCATAAACCTTCTTTACACCTCTGTGCGCCTTAAAATTCTCTGGAAGGGTAGTAATAGCTTTGCCTACATTCTTCAAGATCTCAGGTTTCACTCTGCATCACAGCATAAAGATTTCAATATAGAAATGCCAAAAATGAGGCAGCCCACAAAATTTAGAACAATTTGCCAGCGTACCCAGTGTTTCTGACACGTGAAAGCTGTTCAGGTGACTTAAACCCAGACCAATGAGATGCAAGCCAATCTCTTCTTTTAGGAACATAATCTTTGCTTGCCAAGAATTCTTCATTGAGGATCGAAAGGACCTTCTCCTGTATCCTGTTAATATCTTCTTCGGTCACCTGCCCAGATTCTAAGAGTTTCTTTTTGTAGATCTCCAGAGCTGATGGATGATTCCGAATAACCTGGTAGGTCCCCAATCAGAAATGCCATCAGTCTGCTTGACACATCTCAAGAGAGAAGTTGAATGGGTAGTAACAACAAAAAATATAATTGTATTGCCACAAAAACAACAAAGAGAAACATAAAGCAAAGGAAAAACAAGTTTGTAAATCATATAAGATTGCATTTAGAACCTAGCAAGAATTGCAAATTCTAATGAACTGAAAGTCAAAGGAGGAAGAAGAAAGGAGCTGCAGGGAACAGAAAATATGTGTGTGTGTGTGTGTGTGTGTGTGTGTTGTGCGTGTGTGTGTGTTGTGCTAACCTTATACATTTTGGGTTGGGTGAAAGATGGCTCGTCAATCTCATTGTGCCCAAAACGACGATAGCACACTAAATCAACCACAACATCCGAATGGAAAGTCTGGCGCCACTGAGCTGCAAGTTCACACACATGAACAACTGCCTCCATATCATCTCCATTTACATGGAATATAGGTGCATTCAAGGCCTTGGCAACATCAGTGCAATACTGAGAAGATCTTCCTGCACTAGGATCAGTTGTGAAAGCGACTTGGTTGTTCACCACAATATGTATGGTCCCACCAGTAGTATAGTTTGGCAGTGCACTAAGATGTAAAGTTTCATACACTACACCTTGTCCAGCAAAGCTGCCATCACCGTGAATCAAAATTCCCATGTTCTTAGTCCTGTCAGAATCATTGGAGTAATATTGCTTGGCTCTAGTTTTTCCAACAACAACAGGATCCACAGCTTCTAGATGACTAGGATTTGCAACCAAAGACAAATGGATTCTCTTCCCACCCCTTGTCGGACGATCATAAGAAGTTCCCAAGTGATACTTGACATCACCAGTACCAGTGTAGAGCCCAACTTCATCAACAGGTTTTGTGCCACCACTAAACTCACTAAATATTTGACGGAGTGGTTTCCGAACCACATTACCCAGTACATTCAATCTTCCTCTGTGAGGCATTCCAATAACTATGCTCTCAACCCCAAGATCAGCTGACCTATCAAACATCTCCTTCATTCCAGGAATCAAAGTCTCCCCACCTTCAAGTCCAAACCTCTTAGCTGTCGTCCACTTAGTGGCCAAGAAGTTCTCAAACTGCGTACTCCATATTAACCTATCAAGCATAACTTCACGCCGCTGACGATTGTACTGCATAGGTGTTGGCGTTTCAATCTTGTCTCTCAACCAGTTACATTTTTCACGATCTGCAATATGCATGTACTCATACCCAATGCTCCCACAATAAGCCTGCTCGAGCCTGGTCAATATGGATCTAAGAGTCTGCACTGGACGGTTTTCAGACAAAAATCCAGACATCCTCCACACTCCCAAAAAGAATTCTCTATCAAGATCAGCTTCTGTGAAACCATATAGAGCAAGGTCTAAATCATCAGGGATTTCTCTTTCTTCCAACCCCAGTGGATCCAACTTTGCTTTCATGTGACCATTAACCTGGTAAGCCCTAACAAGCAACAACAAACGCATACTCTCTTGAATAGTTTGGCCTGAAATTCCAGGAGAAGTAGCAGCCTGACCCACAAAGTTCCTAAAGAAATTGTCCCAAGACTCATCCACACTGTTTGGATCAGCTTCCCATGCTCTCTGAAGCTCCTCTAAATAAACACTACTGGTCCCATCTAAGAAGTTATCAGTTAGCTTAGAGAGGGGCACAGGACGAGGGACAGGTGCAGCTTGTGCCTTTGACTTAAAGACTGTTGAATGGAAATATCTATTCTGAGAAGGTATAACCCGTGATCTCGTTGCATAAGATCCACCCTGAGATAAAGTCCTCCTAATAGCAAGCCTTGCTACACTAGAACCCACTCTAAACCACGCCATGGCAATCAATCCACACTAACCCAAAAACCACCAATTCTTCAAAGATTATACACCACCCAGGCTCAAAAAACAATCATAAAAACAAATATTTTTGCCTTATTGAAGAACCCCTGTTAAAAATTGAGCATTAATATCAAACAACAGTACTTGATCACTTTTAAGAACTCAAAGATAATGGGTACTGGATGGTGAAAAACATATTTAACAGTAATAAAATCCTCTCTTAAATCTGGTATTCAATTAGGAAATAAATAAATTGACTAATAAAATAAGCTGAAGCAGATATAATATCAGACAATAGTGCTTAATCACTCAGCAGTTGAACAAAAAGACTGGATTCAATCAAAGTCAGTCAATTCTCCAATTTTATGGATTAAGATTTAACAAATAAAGATTATGGATTAATCATTTCATAATCATAAAAGTAAAAGGTATAAAAACAAAGAAAAGCATCTACAGAGCACTGTCAACATACAGAAAGGAAACATGATTCAGCACGATTTGAGCTTGTGTACAGTAGATTTGCAGCAAAACATTGTGAGGGGAAAAAAAAAGAAATGCGTTTGGACAGAAGGAAGAAACGTACCAGAAAGGAAGGGATGAAAACCTAGTCGCCGTGAAAAAACGATTATGCTGTCTTAAATCCAACCGTGGTGGGCTCTCGTTTTATTATGCTTTGCGTTTCTCCTCTTTTCTAAGATTCTCGAAGCTGATCAATATTATTATTATTCTTTATTTATTTTGTTTCCATTATTATTTTATTGCTTTTTTTCTCTTTGATGGGTTTGTCTTCGGCACAAACCCAAGCAAGCCCAACAGGCCTTTTAGGACATTTTACGTTGTTGACCTGGCTTTGCATGTTTCTGTAGGTCACTAAACAGCTCAGCCCATTTCTCTATTTGCTACTATTTGCTTGCATCTTCATTCGTCTTTCTTATATTTGCCCGATTCTTATGGAAAAATGAACGCATCTAGTTTTGATGCCAGAACTTTAAATAATTAATGAATGATGAATATTTCCTGTAAAGGTGTAAAGTTGGAGAGGTGTTTGTGGTTAATTGTAAATCACCAAATCTGGCTCAAAATCAAATTTCTATTTTGTCAACATTTAAGGACTCCGAATAAATTCTGTATTATTGACTCCTCTTTTCATTTTTCATTTGGCTTGTGTTTGTGTTTGTGTTTGTGTTTATTTTGGAAACGTGTTTGCAACACACATTTCATATTGAAAATAATGAATTTAATGCAGGAAAAGAAAAACATTTGATACTTTGAGAATACATCGATTTTGATTTCTTATGAAGATAATACCCACGTCAATTTTCAAAGGGCAGGTTCTTTCTTTTTCTTTTTCTTTTTCTATTTTTTATTGGAAGATAGGGCGTAATAATTTTGGATTGACGCCAATAAAAGTTTAACCGATATTAATGTTCTCCTCCCTCTTTTCAAAAGATTTCGAATTTCAGCCTTTTCTATATAATAATAAAAAAATCTTTGAATAGCAATTATTTGTTAATCTGGAACTAGCAATTAATCAAATATCATTAGAATATAGCTGTGTCATGTCTTAATTTTACATTAGATAAAAATAATAAAGATCTAAAACACATAAACAATTAACTTAAAGTCGGAATTTATCAACAAGTTTTTTAAAACATTAAAATTTGAATACACACGAATTCAAACAGAGGTTAACCCAAAGACCAATTGAACAACGCAAAACATAAGATTGTAGAACCTTCTTCCTTGCCTAATCCATAAACCAATTCCAACTACAATTCTAAAAAAGTCAAACTAACTTCTTCTTTTTCTTTTTTCTTTTTTTTTCTTTTTTAGTGAGGGGAGAGGGGATAATACGTGCACTTCTGTTGAATGACGAGTTAGTTTGACTTGTAATGTTATTTGTTAAACATTATCGATGCATAAGTTAACATTAGAAGAATAAATGGGTTTTCAATTGATCAATCAAAAGCCATATGCATAATGGTATGCATGATTCACAAAGGTTCCGTCCAAGTAAAAATAATAATAAACAAAATGCACAGACCATCTGAGACGGGTTGGATGAAAACCCACGACCTGCATATGGCTCATGCCCTCCTACTTGAAGCTGTGTACAGGCTACAGAGGGACTGTACGTTCAGGGCCTCGTACGGGCCTGTGGTGGTCAGGGCCTTACTACATGAGATACACTTTAGTTAAACACCTTTAGTGGCACATTCACACGGCTCCCTTTTATACAGAGCGCGGGACGACATCTTCGAGTTACAATGACCTGGTTGCAAAAGAGAGAGGTGCAAGAACTCAAGAGTCGAGACCTCTCAAGAAGAAAAAGGGATGTGAGCGTCAATCATGCAACGCACTGTCAACTTTATACAAGTAGATGTCATTTCTCGTCGTTCTACCAGTCCTAAACCCGAAATTTTTGGCATCTATCATCTATCCCTCTCCTCCCTTTCCATAATTCAATTTATTCAATCTTTTGGTGGACTCTTAAGCGGCATTCAATACAACTACGGCCAACATATTCAGCAATTTGCCAGCCACAGGCAGCAGCATCAGCAGCATGGTAAGCTATCACAAGCATAAATTCAACATCAAAAGATTCGTCGATTAAATGGCATTCAAAGATATGCACACACAAAATTACAAATTCTGATGAACAATAAAGAACAACAGGCATCTTATAGGAGATATGAGCTAAACTTGGATTGTCCATCTACATCAAGTCAGTCATCGAGTTCAAGCCCCAAACGACAGAAAAGGGAAAAGGAGTGTTATATTATAAATTCCACATATTGAGAGAATAAATACTGCTTTAAACACACTAAGGTTGGTTTTCTGGAAAAATAACAGGGCACAAATACAGCACCCAGCACAACGTCACCAGCATTAATCTGACACCGCAACGGGTGCCACTTGCATAACCTCCCCCTCCATCCAATTTTAATTCTCCCTTTATGAACCACAGCAAGCTGACTTTTGGGCAGCTTGGCCGCCACTGGTTGCTGGGTCTGGTTGGTTAATCTTGATTGTTTGAGGCTGGTACCACAAGGCAAAAGGAGAAAAACATCAATATTTGAGAAGAAAGATAAGGGGGGAAAAGAATTCCCCTGGAAAATGGTAATATAAACCAAATTTCCAACTAGGGAACTAATGGAAGAAATTGTAACTAATTTTACAGAATAAGAGCAAAAGTTACCTCTGCCCTGGAATCAGTTTCTGAGATCCTTTGCTTGATATCCCTTGCAATTGAAAAGAAAACCTCCTCCACGTTCAAATTTGTCTTAGCACTCTGCAGAAAATACTTGGGTATAAACAGAAGAAAACAGGTAAGCTGAGACAATTCCATTTTAGAAGCATATTTGCACTTACAGTTTCAAAGAACTTGATCCCATACTCATCAGCAAGAGCTTGACCCTTGGAGGTAGGCACAGCCTGGGGAAACAAAAGAGGAATGTCTTTCCTAATTATCATCAACATAGCATACACACACACACACGCACACAAACACCTACAGGAATTGAATGAGGATCCCCAATGCGCACCCTAAATTATAAGACAGAGCAAGACTCCTCCACAGGTTCAGGGTAAAAACTTGCAAAAGAGGGCTCATTGCATAATTCATGAACTTGCAATTCAACCCACAATGTTAATGAAACAAACATTTCCTACAGGTGGTAAAATATGGTACATACCCTTTTGCTTTCATCCATGTCTGCTTTGTTTCCCACCAGTATCTTGTTGACATTGTCAGAAGCATGTTGTTCAATGTTCCGGATCCAGTTCCTAATATCTGCTCATAAACAGAAACTAACTCTATCAGAAATCCAAGGGATATAAAACAATGGAAGAAAGACCCACAAGACAAAGGAGAAGCTCCACCATATCAAAAAGAAGATCTTCCCCAAATCCACCTCGATCAAACAGAAATCAATCAAGAAGCAGATTTTACCAGTTAAACATAAAATGTAAGAAACAGATACGTTGGTTACCCACACCCAAAAACAGAAAGAAAATGCAAGCACAACATATTGACAATAAAACAGCAGCAAGATGGATAACATAATGAAATTTCTTAAAATCTGAAGACTAAAGGTAAGGCAATAAGAGAATTTACTGTTGAAAGATGATTCATCGGTAACATCATACACTAGCAAAATCCCCATGGCTCCTCGGTAATAAGCTGCAGAAGAATACAAAGCACATAAGCAACTCTAGCACCATCTAGAGGTTAAAAAAAAATCAATTAGATAAACTTACATAAGCCAGTAAACTCAGTCCTTTCTATTCAGCCCCGTGAAACTAGCAAAATTTCCAAGATTGGATTTCAACCTGATGGAATCATCCTTATCTACATTTTTAACTCAGAAGTTTCCACTTTGTTCCTTTTCTCTCCAGCAATTTTTTTGACTCAGGTTTTGTAAAGCATTTTGTTTGTTTTCGACATACATAAATTAATAGGTTAAACAACTGGGTGAAGTCACTCTACAGCCTTAAGGCTCAAGCATGCACAGTCATGATGCAGCATACCATCCTCACCATCATATGATACTCTCAAATCAGGCAACTATAGTTGCATATATGAAAAAGACCATAAATTTTAAAATAGCAAAAGAATTTGTAAATGCCAGACACAAACCTGTTGTGATAGTTCGGAAACGCTCCTGGCCTGCTGTATCCCAAATTTGCAATTTAATCCGTTTACCATCAAGCTCAATGGTCCTTATCTTAAAATCAATGCTGTTGAAGAAAAGTACTGATAAAAAATTTGATAAATGCTCAACAAAAAGCGTAAAAAAGAAGCTTCTAGAATTCAGCACATGGAACATAATTAGATCCTTATTTAAACAAGTTAAAAATAAACCAACAAAATTTGCATCACCCATATCCTGATCGTTGGCTAAGGAAAGTCTCTGGAACCGTTATGAGTGCAGCCAAAAAGAGGGACATCAAATTTCTAAACTTCATTTGTGTCACTACACTATAAGTTTTTCATCAGTATCTAATGAGTAAAAAAATAATGAAACTAACTGGTAACTTGAAATCTACCCAACATCAAATTTTTCTCTTGTAAATCACACGAGCAGGTGCTTATTATCGATAACCTAAGTCTTGATATTTACGCGTCCAAAGATGCTAAAATAGTTTGACAGTATAGAAATAGCAGAGTTCTCAGGAATGCAAACCCAATGGTTGTAATGAAACTGGTAGTGAAGGAACCATCAGAAAAACGCAAAAGCAGACAACTCTTCCCCACACCTACAAAGACATTAACAAGCACTAGGATGTCAAATAATAACAAGAGAAAGAGAAAATAGAAAACAAGACATAGTATGCAGATCAGCCCATAATGCCACAATTGACTTTCCCCAGAAATCACATAGATTGACATTACTTTTGGAGTCAGATACAAACAGGCAGGAAATGAGAACTGCCAGCAGACACCAACGTAAAATATCAGAGAGCAACCTGGAGGAATTGCTAAATCTAAAAACCTTATAACAGGTTTACCTTAAAAACGAATCCAATCAAAAATCAAAGTCATTGATCGAAATAAAACAAGTGTGGCTGCTAAAACCTATATAGTAGGACATTTTGGGCATGTTTGATTCGTTCAAGAGTGAAAAATGGAATAGGAATCCCTTTCAATTCCATTTCAATACTGTTCACGGCCAATAACATGGGTCTCTTGAGGTTGAACAAATGGATCACTTGATCATGCCTTTGTTGAAAGGGAGTTCACTAATATAACTCTTAGCTAGGGGTGAAGCCACCCAGGTTCAACAAAAGGTTGCAATTTCAACAGAAAAATGAGATATTGCATTTTAAATGAACTAAATCACTCACATTTTGTCATTAAGAGCCTAATATAAGTAGATTCATCATGAAATAAAATTAAAATATAAATTCTACTTGGAATTGGAAAGAAATCCTATTTCCATTCCATTCTCAATATTTGGAAAACCAAATGTGCCCTTACTATTCTAAAGAAACAAGAAAGGCTAAGGGGGAAAATTAAACAAACTAACCTAAGATGCATGTAAAGCAATTCAAGTCATTCAAAATTAGTGCACGACAAATTAAGTATGTCCAGTTTTGTTGTCTCTAATCTCCAAATACCAGCATCTACCAAAATCTCCTGGGAATCAACATAAATGAAGTTAGGGAGACAAACGAACCAAGTAGCTGGCTAGCTATACAGAGACTATAGGAGTTACTTCTTTGTTTCTCTTGCTTATAAACTCAACCCTAAGACCATTTTTTTAGGTAAAAAAAAAATTAATCTACCATATCAGTGAGATGTATGCTTGGGGAATCTGCAGCTTATCTTGGTGGAAAAGTTGTCCTTCACTGACAAATAGGAGGATCATTTACAGGTACACATCTTCTCTACCAACAATGCAAGAAAAACCACAAAGCATCTAGAATTCACTACACCAAAAAGTTCAAAGCAATCAGAAAATAGTGTTGAGCTTGGGCTATATGTAATCATTAACTTGAATTCAGAAGTCAAACCACCTCCTAGTGGACCCCAGCAAACATTAGAGACTGATTGCCCCATTTTTAGCCCCTCTTGTACTGCAACATATTCATCTTTTGTTTTGTTTTGTTTTTTATTTTAATGAATCTGCATTTGCAAATGCAAGTGCAATAATGGATTCTGTGTGCATCTAAACCCCCAACAGAAGGCAGCATCTCTTACTACACAAAAGTGTCAGTTCGAAGAGGCCAATGCTTGGCAAAGGAAAAGGTCTTGGCTTGCAACTACAACACTGTTTGGGTCTTCATTGCTACTCTTTCATGTAAAAAGTTAGAGGATAGGGCTATCTCCAAAATCCTCTCTCAAAAACTCACTTTGATGGGGAAATGAAGCAAATAAACCAAGACATTATGCTGGATCAAATGATTGACAAGTTAAAACATTGTTTTTAATCCTCATTGTGACGCAAGTGCTCCATTTCAGCATCACCCAATCTAAAACACGTTACCAAGCTAAGTAAATGAATAATCAAAACCAGCTAAACACAATATGATCACACTTCAAAACATAAAAGGAAAACCTGTAACATGACTATTTTAAAAGGATAAAGACAGTAAAGACAAAAAAGCATCCAGGTTATCCATTCATTAAAATGCACGGACATCATAAACGAAAAATAAAATAAAAAAATAACAGAATCATCCAAGTACATAATATGAAGCCTTGATGCTTTCGTACAGTTTCTTTAATGCTGCAACATCCAATCAACACCAACACTACAACCTATATGATCAATTAAACCACTTTACATTACGGGCCCTGCTCACCCAAACTCAATTCACTATGCGCATGAACATGGATTTTAAGGGTACGACTCACAGAAACAAAAAAATAAAACATAAAAAATCCATCATTGATCAAATACATGCGTGCTGTCAAACAGAAATGCCAATGCAGTGTACAGCTATAAACATGACTAAAGACGCCTTTCAATGCAAATAACTATTGAAACCCGAACACCACCTCACCAGATCATTAAAAAACACCATTTAGGCAGACCCTCAAACAATTACACCCATACAGATCAACATTCCTTAAATCCACAACAAAACCGAAAAATAACAAAGACTTATTTGTCAAAACCATAAAAAAAAAATACTGCCTTAAATCACCGCATCACATTCCAAATCAAAACCCCAAAAACAGAAAAAGCCCCTTTTCCAATCCAACAAATCAAAATCAAAACCCACAAAGATAAAAACCCTAAATAATATAGAGAAACAAAAAACTAACTTACCGCTATCCCCAATCAAGAGTAGCTTAATCAAGTAATCATAATCAGCACGAGCCCTTGCTGGTGGTGCAGCCATCGTCTGTTTTCTTTTCGAATTAAAAAAAAAAAAGAAGAAGAAACAAATAAAAAAAATCCCTTGTAAAATGAAACAAAAACAAGATCGAAAATCGAAAATCGAAAACAAAAGGGGAGAGAGAGAGAGAGAGAGAGAGTACCTTTTTAGGTTAGCAAAGGAAAGGAAAGAGAAAGACTGTGTCCAATGCGCTTGGGACTTTTTGTCTCTCTCCGCGTATATTACGTTTCGACTTTTCTACAGTTGTATTCTGCCAATAACGGTGAACATGGACTTTTTATAAGGTGGACTTGGTTGTATGAGATCATCTCTCTTTATTTAATACTTAATCATTATATTAGATTCCATTGCCAATTATGCTCTTTGTTAAAAAGTTTTGCCCTTTGATTATCTATCCACAAACTTAGTCCTCCTATATATATATATAAAAAGTTTTGCCCTTTAATACTTAATCATTAATTTTTTTTTAGATCCCTAGGATGTCCCACACTCAAAATTTCGTAACGATACCTCATTGTTTGGACGGACGTATAAGATGGATATAATTATCTCGAAGAGTTTTTTGTATATATATGAAATTAAAATCAAAATCACTTACTTAAATAATTAGAGTTCGTTTCGATTAAGTCAATCTTCTTGTATTGGTATCAACCTGTTAGTTTAATACATAAATAGATTCAGCTGTAGTTTAATTAATTTGGTTCAATTCCATATATATGATCTAAAATTGTTTTTGTTAAATATTGAATATCCGATTAAACTATTTTGAAAGAAGTCAGCATCTTTTTTTTTAAAAAAAAAACTATAAAATCATTTCACAATACATGGAAACCCAATGTATACAGAGACGATGGTTTTGAATTTTTTTCAAAAAAAAAAAAATCCTCATTTAAAGGGTTTAAATAGTTCATAAGCACGTGATATTGGGGTACACCAAAGTTGTTCAAACTTGAGTTTTGGTAGGCAAAACGAAGTACGATTCTTTTCTTCTTTATTTCGAACAAACAACGGAGTCCAATTTTTAAAGTTAATTGGATCAGTCACCTGCCAGTAATTACCTCAACCAACAAAAGGCAAGAATGACACCAGATTTGTACGATGAGTAACGCGAGTATATCCAATTCCTGACGCCAAGGAACACCAAATTGACTAGAGAGAACTACCACTAGAGCCCGAATATCTTAGGTAGATTCCACAATCGCATGATGCCTCTCCTGGATTATTATAAAGTTAGCAAAAAGTGAAGCAATGACAAAGCAAAAAAAGTTGTGCTTCAAAGTATATGCTTAGAAGATCCTCTCCCACACCATTACTACACCTACAAAAGCCCCCACCACCACCCCAAGTCATCTCCCTTCAGTCCTCTCCATGGCTATCTCTCTCCAATATTGCCGTCTCGGCTGGAACCCTTCCTGGAGTCCGTATACATGGGTTTCGAGGCTGGTGGTTGCAGTGAAGGTGGCAATGGAAGCGGGGACAAGAAGCTAACATGAAGAGGATTATTATCTTTGTAAGGTCATGATGGTTTTTATACCATTAGGGCAACTATCATCCTTTGGCAATTTATCCATGTCACTATGGCTTGACAAATTATTAGGCCATTCTTAGCATATTCTATCGTCTTTGCATTTGTTTTACCATCTGCTTTTTAATATCAGCACTTGAGTCAATTTCGACAGGCCTTCTTGTATTTCATCATTGTTTTGAACTATGCTATTGTTCCCCCAATCAATAAATAGCTTATGTTTAAACATAGTAGAATGAAAACTTCTTCTTCTTCTTTTTTTTTTTTTTTTGTTATTATTTATTGGTTAAACAGTTGTCAAAAATAACATTCCTCCAACTAATTTTCAAAAAAAAAAAAAAAAAGCTAACCTAAAGATCTAATTTCACAAGAAATATAATTCAAAATAGGTCAATTCAAAATTAAAAGTCGAAAGACTAATAATCTAATAACAATTTTTAGTTTCAATGTGGATCTCCTTCCAATTATTTCTTACAAAAAAACAAATTAGAGATAAATCCAGTTAGAAAATAAAAGTTGAAGTAAATAGCTTAAAATTTATGAAAAAAATTGAATATTTGTTCTTATTTATTTATTGTTTTATTTTTGTTTCTGCTTCGACAAGTCGACTACCTTAACATAAGTCTTAGCAAAGAACCGTAACTTTGACAACCAACCTTTGTTAGATAGGCCCCTTTGCCAATTGCTCGTCTCTAGGGGTCAACAAACGGTTCGGTTAACCGAAAACCGAATAAAACCGAATCGAATTATAAAATTTGATTCGGTTTTAAATATAAAATTATACAATATAAAACCGAATCGAAAAAACCGAAATTATTTCGGTTCGGTTCGGTTCGGTTTTTAGAAAAAAAATTTCTGTTTCAACCGAAAACCGAAATAAATAGTAAAAAATTTTCTAATTTCTAATTCCCTAACTTTTCAATTTTCATTCTTGTTAAAACCGAAACACGCAGATGAGAAGTAAATTTTGAAAATCGTTGGGGTAAGAAAAGAAAGTGACATAGTATAATTAATTGGGATACAAAGTGTTTGAATGAGTAAATTTATTACACTTGGACTCGTTTTTATTAAAGCTTAACTAAAATCTTCAAGAGCTTTGTGATTGTTTATAAAAAAAATTAATTGATAGCAAGATGGTAATTCATTGGCTAGTGAACTAAATGCTAGTACAAAATATCTCTCTCGTAATGATTTTTTTTTTTACAAAAAAATATTTTAGTTAAAACCGAAATATTTCGAAACCAAACCGAATTTATTTCGATTTGATTTTAGTTTTAATTTTTTTTAATTTAGTTAACTGAATGCTCACCCCTAGCTGTCTCAACTCGAAAGGGCATTGGTGCAAATCCATATAGACTGATACGCCAACAGACCATAACTGGAATTTAGAGCATCATTGAATTTTAAAAGATCTTAGTTGAGTTTTATGTAGTCCTTGTATTTTTTAAATTTGTTTTATTAATCCATCTACCGTAGCACGTTATCATTAATAGCCACTAATCTTGAATCGACTAAAAACTTACTAAAAAAGACAATTTTTTTAATAATACCTTAATGCTTAGAATTAAAAAAGACAAATTCGAAACCCTAATTAAACGCTGCTTAAAACAACAATACCAAATTAATCTGACTCCGCAGGTCCAAGATCTCAAGTCCTCTAAGCAGACCAGTACACCTAAATGAAAGCAGAATATGGTTGCTAATGAGCCTAGAGCTGACCAGTGAACTCAGCCCCTGTAATGTGTCCATTATATAATCTGGTGCAAGCCATACTCGCCTATTCAACAACATTCTTCCCTCAAATATTGTCAACAGTCAACGGTGACTAATTATAATACGACGAGAGAAACACGTAGACTTTGGAAAAAGCATTAAAACAAATAATGCATGGAGCACAATCCTATTGTAAAGAAGTTTCCAAATACATTCAATAAGTTCACATAAACGGAACAACTCCTCCTCATGCCAAAAATAAACCCAGTCTAGTAGAAGAAGCCAAGTACTTTGCCACCAACATTCTTCCTTCTGGCCTCCTCATGGTCCATAATGCCAGCAGAAGTTGTGAGCACGATATATCCAAACTGCAATGACCAGTCAGTCATGCAAAAGTCAGCAAAGAAAAGTTTATGACCAGAAACAAAATGACCATCATTGATTAAATACATAAAAAAAAAAAAAAACCAATGAAATTTCACAGAAACATAGGCCACCGCATTACATATCCTAATACAGATGAATATTGGTACGAGCTTGATCAAAATTTAAAACGACTTTCCACAGTGGTGAAAGCATTCCATTGCATGATCCTCGAGCAACCCCAGTGTGCCATGACCAGAACAAAATGACTTTGGTTGATTAAATACGTAAGAAACCATTGAAATTTAACAGAAAAATAGGCCACCGCATCACATAACCTAATAAAAATGAATATTGGTATAAGCTTAATCAAAATTTAAATAGGTGTTCCACAGTGGTGAAAGAATACCATTTCATGATTCTCAAGCAACCCAATTGCAGACATATAATACAATGACATTTGCAGTGAAAACAGATACTGGGACTTGAGATTGAAGTGTAATAGTATACTTCATGCACTGACCTGTCTTGAGGGGAGCAACCTTGCAGTCCAAGGTTCAATCTCCTTGACACCAACATCAAAACGAGGACTGATAACCCCACACTTGTTCAACCTTCCATTTAGTTCAACCACAATTTTACCAGCCCTGTGATCATCAACGAACTCAAACTCACCAATGTAACCTACAGAGCAAAACCCAAATAAAATAACAGTTTATTTACAAATTAAAAATGAAGCAATATATACAAATAAATAAGGACCAATACCATGCTTTTGCATCACCAACAGAAACTTGATAATCACTTTTGAGGAAGGCCTGATCAGGACCTGGCGCTTCCCAAGTTTCTCCGCATTGTACATGCTCTTTAGAGCATCATTCAAAACACTAATTCGCACCATTTTTGCTGCCGCTACACAAATTTTAAGAACAACACCATCAATCACGACCAAAACGTTTTGTAAAGCACATCAAATGTGATAGTGGATGCAAATAAATAAATTTCAAACTAGTATATTTATGCTTTCCACTCTTGAACTCCTTCAACTATGAATAATCAGGAAGGCCATAAGGCCACATCCGCCCCTAACCATTTTAGAACAAAGTAACTAACAGCGTTTTAACTTTCCAATATATGTGTACTTCGAAACCCGAACCTCATGTCTACAGATTTGTAAGATTTTAATGGATAAACCAGTAAACCAAAAAAAAAATTAAATAAACAAACCAGATTATACAAAATCCAGAAACGTCATTAGTAATGTTGAACGAGAGAAGACCAACAAAAAATGCATAAACTGATATTATAATTCAAAATCCATCAGCTGACAGACAAAATTGAGCACAAAACTGATATTATAATTCCAAACCCATCAGCTGACAGACAAAACTGAGCACAAAAA